TGCATTTGAGTCGACTCAAAAGCAGACAGGACAGGACAGCCCAGATACACGGCGCTGCTGCTCCCTGCATTTGAGTCGACTCAAAAGCAGACAGGACAGGACAGCCCAGATACACGGCGCTGCTGCTCCCTGCATTTGAGTCGACTCAAAAGCAGACAGGACAGGACAGCCCAGATACACGGCGCTGCTGCTCCCTGCATTTGAGTCGACTCAAAAGCAGACAGGACAGGACAGCCCAGATACACGGCGCTGCTGCTCCCTGCATTTGAGTCGACTCAAAAGCAGACAGGACAGGACAGCCCAGATACACGGCGCTGCTGCTCCCTGCATTTGAGTCGACTCAAAAGCAGACAGGACAGGACAGCCCAGATACACGGCGCTGCTGCTCCCTGCATTTGAGTCGACTCAAAAGCAGACAGGACAGGACAGCCCAGATACACGGCGCTGCTGCTCCCTGCATTTGAGTCGACTCAAAAGCAGACAGGACAGGACAGCCCAGATACACGGCGCTGCTGCTCCCTGCATTTGAGTCGACTCAAAAGCAGACAGGACAGGACAGCCCAGATACACGGCGCTGCTGCTCCCTGCATTTGAGTCGACTCAAAAGCAGACAGGACAGGACAGCCCAGATACACGGCGCTGCTGCTCCCTGCATTTGAGTCGACTCAAAAGCAGACAGGACAGGACAGCCCAGATACACGGCGCTGCTGCTCCCTGCATTTGAGTCGACTCAAAAGCAGACAGGACAGGACAGCCCAGATACACGGCGCTGCTGCTCCCTGCATTTGAGTCGACTCAAAAGCAGACAGGACAGGACAGCCCAGATACACGGCGCTGCTGCTCCCTGCATTTGAGTCGACTCAAAAGCAGACAGGACAGGACAGCCCAGATACACGGCGCTGCTGCTCCCTGCATTTGAGTCGACTCAAAAGCAGACAGGACAGGACAGCCCAGATAAACAGCGCTGCTGCTCCCTGCATTTGAGTCGACTCAAAAGCAGACAGGACAGGACAGCCCAGATACACGGCGCTGCTGCTCCCTGCATTTGAGTCGACTCAAAAGCAGACAGGACAGGACAGCCCAGATACACGGCGCTGCTGCTCCCTGCATTTGAGTCGACTCAAAAGCAGACAGGACAGGACAGCCCAGATACACGGCGCTGCTGCTCCCTGCATTTGAGTCGACTCAAAAGCAGACAGGACAGGACAGCCCAGATACACGGCGCTGCTGCTCCCTGCATTTGAGTCGACTCAAAAGCAGACAGGACAGGACAGCCCAGATACACGGCGCTGCTGCTCCCTGCATTTGAGTCGACTCAAAAGCAGACAGGACAGGACAGCCCAGATACACGGCGCTGCTGCTCCCTGCATTTGAGTCGACTCAAAAGCAGACAGGACAGGACAGCCCAGATACACGGCGCTGCTGCTCCCTGCATTTGAGTCGACTCAAAAGCAGACAGGACAGGACAGCCCAGATACACGGCGCTGCTGCTCCCTGCATTTGAGTCGACTCAAAAGCAGACAGGACAGGACAGCCCAGATACACGGCGCTGCTGCTCCCTGCATTTGAGTCGACTCAAAAGCAGACAGGACAGGACAGCCCAGATACACGGCGCTGCTGCTCCCTGCATTTGAGTCGACTCAAAAGCAGACAGGACAGGACAGCCCAGATACACGGCGCTGCTGCTCCCTGCATTTGAGTCGACTCAAAAGCAGACAGGACAGGACAGCCCAGATACACGGCGCTGCTGCTCCCTGCATTTGAGTCGACTCAAAAGCAGACAGGACAGGACAGCCCAGATACACGGCGCTGCTGCTCCCTGCATTTGAGTCGACTCAAAAGCAGACAGGACAGGACAGCCCAGATACACGGCGCTGCTGCTCCCTGCATTTGAGTCGACTCAAAAGCAGACAGGACAGGACAGCCCAGATACACGGCGCTGCTGCTCCCTGCATTTGAGTCGACTCAAAAGCAGACAGGACAGGACAGCCCAGATACACGGCGCTGCTGCTCCCTGCATTTGAGTCGACTCAAAAGCAGACAGGACAGGACAGCCCAGATACACGGCGCTGCTGCTCCCTGCATTTGAGTCGACTCAAAAGCAGACAGGACAGGACAGCCCAGATACACGGCGCTGCTGCTCCCTGCATTTGAGTCGACTCAAAAGCAGACAGGACAGGACAGCCCAGATACACGGCGCTGCTGCTCCCTGCATTTGAGTCGACTCAAAAGCAGACAGGACAGGACAGCCCAGATACACGGCGCTGCTGCTCCCTGCATTTGAGTCGACTCAAAAGCAGACAGGACAGGACAGCCCAGATACACGGCGCTGCTGCTCCCTGCATTTGAGTCGACTCAAAAGCAGACAGGACAGGACAGCCCAGATACACGGCGCTGCTGCTCCCTGCATTTGAGTCGACTCAAAAGCAGACAGGACAGGACAGCCCAGATACACGGCGCTGCTGCTCCCTGCATTTGAGTCGACTCAAAAGCAGACAGGACAGGACAGCCCAGATACACGGCGCTGCTGCTCCCTGCATTTGAGTCGACTCAAAAGCAGACAGGACAGGACAGCCCAGATACACGGCGCTGCTGCTCCCTGCATTTGAGTCGACTCAAAAGCAGACAGGACAGGACAGCCCAGATACACGGCGCTGCTGCTCCCTGCATTTGAGTCGACTCAAAAGCAGACAGGACAGGACAGCCCAGATACACGGCGCTGCTGCTCCCTGCATTTGAGTCGACTCAAAAGCAGACAGGACAGGACAGCCCAGATACACGGCGCTGCTGCTCCCTGCATTTGAGTCGACTCAAAAGCAGACAGGACAGGACAGCCCAGATACACGGCGCTGCTGCTCCCTGCATTTGAGTCGACTCAAAAGCAGACAGGACAGGACAGCCCAGATACACGGCGCTGCTGCTCCCTGCATTTGAGTCGACTCAAAAGCAGACAGGACAGGACAGCCCAGATACACGGCGCTGCTGCTCCCTGCATTTGAGTCGACTCAAAAGCAGACAGGACAGGACAGCCCAGATACACGGCGCTGCTGCTCCCTGCATTTGAGTCGACTCAAAAGCAGACAGGACAGGACAGCCCAGATACACGGCGCTGCTGCTCCCTGCATTTGAGTCGACTCAAAAGCAGACAGGACAGGACAGCCCAGATACACGGCGCTGCTGCTCCCTGCATTTGAGTCGACTCAAAAGCAGACAGGACAGGACAGCCCAGATACACGGCGCTGCTGCTCCCTGCATTTGAGTCGACTCAAAAGCAGACAGGACAGGACAGCCCAGATACACGGCGCTGCTGCTCCCTGCATTTGAGTCGACTCAAAAGCAGACAGGACAGGACAGCCCAGATACACGGCGCTGCTGCTCCCTGCATTTGAGTCGACTCAAAAGCAGACAGGACAGGACAGCCCAGATACACGGCGCTGCTGCTCCCTGCATTTGAGTCGACTCAAAAGCAGACAGGACAGGACAGCCCAGATACACGGCGCTGCTGCTCCCTGCATTTGAGTCGACTCAAAAGCAGACAGGACAGGACAGCCCAGATACACGGCGCTGCTGCTCCCTGCATTTGAGTCGACTCAAAAGCAGACAGGACAGGACAGCCCAGATACACGGCGCTGCTGCTCCCTGCATTTGAGTCGACTCAAAAGCAGACAGGACAGGACAGCCCAGATACACGGCGCTGCTGCTCCCTGCATTTGAGTCGACTCAAAAGCAGACAGGACAGGACAGCCCAGATACACGGCGCTGCTGCTCCCTGCATTTGAGTCGACTCAAAAGCAGACAGGACAGGACAGCCCAGATACACGGCGCTGCTGCTCCCTGCATTTGAGTCGACTCAAAAGCAGACAGGACAGGACAGCCCAGATACACGGCGCTGCTGCTCCCTGCATTTGAGTCGACTCAAAAGCAGACAGGACAGGACAGCCCAGATACACGGCGCTGCTGCTCCCTGCATTTGAGTCGACTCAAAAGCAGACAGGACAGGACAGCCCAGATACACGGCGCTGCTGCTCCCTGCATTTGAGTCGACTCAAAAGCAGACAGGACAGGACAGCCCAGATACACGGCGCTGCTGCTCCCTGCATTTGAGTCGACTCAAAAGCAGACAGGACAGGACAGCCCAGATACACGGCGCTGCTGCTCCCTGCATTTGAGTCGACTCAAAAGCAGACAGGACAGGACAGCCCAGATACACGGCGCTGCTGCTCCCTGCATTTGAGTCGACTCAAAAGCAGACAGGACAGGACAGCCCAGATACACGGCGCTGCTGCTCCCTGCATTTGAGTCGACTCAAAAGCAGACAGGACAGGACAGCCCAGATACACGGCGCTGCTGCTCCCTGCATTTGAGTCGACTCAAAAGCAGACAGGACAGGACAGCCCAGATAAACAGCGCTGCTGCTCCCTGCATTTGAGTCGACTCAAAAGCAGACAGGACAGGACAGCCCAGATAAACGGCGCTGCTGCTCCCTGCAACCACCAAGTGTTCTTATTCAGTGTAACCCCTCCTCCAGCTCCTCTTCCAGTAAGAGCGTTTGCATGATGAGCGCTGGGTTGGCTAGGCCTGGGGAGGACGAGGGGGGAAAGATGGGGAGAATGCTTGTGCAAAGGAAAGCCATAAACATTCTAACAAGGCTTCCCCTGCATCATGCAGAGCACAGGTATCTATTGTTGAGCACCACCACATGCACATCCTCGGACCGCTAATTCTCTCTCATTCTTTAACTCCCACTCACTCCCTCACTCACCCACCCACACAGCCATTCACCCCCTCACTCTCTCCCTCCCTCCACCACCTGTTGTTTCAATGACAATCTGGTCGAACTTGTCCCTCTTAGTGGTAATAAGATCAGTGAGCATGCGCACTAGATCCCCTCGCACGGTGCAGCACAGGCACCCGTTGTTGAGCACCACCACGCCCTCACCCCCCGCCAGTGCACCGTCTAACGGCTAGAGGCTACCGGCTAGCGCTAGTGGCTCACTCACCCGTGGTCTCAATAACAATATGGTCGAACTTGTCCCTCTTCGTCGTGATGAGATCGCTGAGCATCCTAACGAGGTCGCCTCTAACGGTGCAGCACAGGCAGCCGTTGTTGAGCACCACCACGTCCTCCGACCCCGCCAGCGCGTCCGCCACGAGCGACCCGTCGATGTCCACCTCGCCGAACTGAGGAAATCCAATGGACGGACGGGATTTATGAATCTAAGGAACAGCATTTCGAGGTTTGAGTAAGCGAGCCAAACGAGTGCCCAGCGCGCCCGCCACGAGCGACCCATCGATATCCAACTGCGGAAAACCAATGGACGGACGGGATTCAAATAACGGGATCCACGGGACGGGATTCAAGAAACGGGATTCGAGTAACGTGAACCAAACGAGTTCCCAGCGCGACCGCCACGCCACGGGCGACCCGTCAATGTCCACAAGGTAGAGTACGGCCTGATGTATAAAGAGTATTTTCAAAATGTCTCAAGAGTACGCCTGAAAGCTCAACTCTCAACTCTCTCGCACGGACGGCATTATAACAGAAGGCCCAGATCCCTTTGCTTGTCACCAAGACGGTGCGCAGGCCCTCGCTCGCTTGGCTTGGCTGGTTCTTAACGAACTCGTAGTAAATCTCGAATACTTGGTTCTGATTATTACGCCGTGTACCAGTATTGAAATGACGATTAGCTTCGCGTACCTTGTTCGCAACAGCTTGGCGACTTGTAACTCTCGCTTACCTCGTTTTCAATGACGGCAATTCGCTTGCCGTGGTCCGCCTTGAGGATGTAGTTCACTTTTGAGTCGAGTCACAAGCATTCAGCAGCGTCGTCTTTTGAGCCGCCTCATAACATAACTGTCGACTTGGCTCACCTCGTTTTCGATGACGGCAATTCGCTTGCCGTGGTCCGCCTTGAGGATGTAGTTCAGCAGCGTCGTCTGCGGCCAGCCAAACCCACGGGGACACGAACACAAAATAATTGAAAAAAAAACCAAAGAAAAGAAAGGTTCACACCAGATTATATTAGATCACGGTGGTCCGCCTTCGGGATGCAGTTCAGCGGCGTCGTCTGCAGCCAAGCACAAGGGTTACCGGTTACGAACATATAAGAACTTAAATTACGGTTATGAAATGAATAACCACGGTTACAGTTCGCGGAAAAGTCCTGATCCGGATCACGCGCAAACGAATATGAGCACTGGTGCCGCACCCTGCCCGAAACTGAGGAAGTGGGTGATCATGGCAAAAACTTCAAGGTGGGGGATGGGGTGGAGTGGGGTGGGGTGGGGTGGAGCGAGGTGGGATGGCACGGTTGAGCGATTGGTGTCGCACCTTGCCGGAGCCGAGGAAGATGCTGATGATGGTGTACGGGCGCGCGGTTATCGGGCTCCAGATTCGACAGCATGCCCCCTCCCCTCCTCCCCCATTCCCCATCCCTCCCCCCTTACCCCCCACCCCCCTCCCCCCTCAGCCCCTCTTCCTCCCCTTCTAGTATTGAGGCGCCTCGAAACTAACCTTGCCGGAGCCGAGAAAGCCGGTGATGATGGTGACGGGTGCGCGGTTATCGGGCTCCAGGTCCGACAGCATGTCCTGCGCCGCCTTCTCCGCCTCCGCCTGCTCGTTCGCCACGCTGCCGCGATTTGCGGAAAAAGGAACACGGTGCGGAGAAATCGAGGGGGAGGGGAAGGCGTGGGGAAGGGTAAGGTGGAGGGGGAGGGGGAAACAACAACAAAAAAAAGGGTGGTGCATCAAGCCAAGCGAGACAGAAAAGTAAATACTCATCTGTAGCTCCATATTAGGTTAGTTCATAAAAGACAAAGGGTTCAAACGCGTTCTCGCATGTGTGATTCTATTCGTTTCTTCGTGCAATAGTATATAATTTCTGTACAAGAATCCTGATGAAATGCATGTGTTCCAAATTATGCTGTCCTTATTTATTTCTCTCTTCACACTCGCTTACTAAGTGTTGGAAGACGAACCTGCAAAATGTTCGCGCGGGGAAGCTTCGTTGCGCGGCGCGCTGCACCGTTCGCGAGGCATGGAGAGGTCGTTCGACTCTTAACGCCACGCTCGAGATACTGGAAACAGTCGCATTTTGTCGCACGCGACTCGCCGCGATCGACGGTGCGGCGAAACGAGTCGTGAAACGGGCAAGTGCTGTCAAAGCTGCCATGCTATCCAATCCTGTGCAGAGTTCTTTCGCAGCGTAACAAGCTAGTAAACAGATCAGTGCACAAGCAATATAGCAGTGGCACCGAGAAGAAAACGCTACGATTTCGGGCACAGCAGAGTTCAGACAGCACAGCGACAACACGAGCTGACAACCACGAGAAAGCAGGGACAGTGAAGTGAAACTGATAATTCTACGGACGAGGAGGCCTATGTATGATACGAACGATCACTAAGGGGAGATGAGGATGGTGGAGCACGCACAGAACCCAGAAGTCGGAGTGAGGCAAGGCAAGGTTGAGCGACAGAGCCTAGAAGTCTCGGGTTCGGCAAGTCCGAAGCTGGTTTCATGAAACCCAAGCTCCATTCAGATGAAGACACGAGGCGCACAATTTATAAGTGTTTTACTGCTACCATCGAGAATCGCTAACCACAGCATGGGCAAAGCACTATAGAATGTGTCAGGGATCCAGTACCTCAAAACAGCACCGGCCAGTACTAAATGCGATTTGAGACCTCGGGTCGTCAGTGTGTCATCGTTCTGGCTGAATTGCTGGACAGGGGGGTTCCGATGAGGTTTGGCTCCAGATTCAGTTGTCCAGGGGGAGGTGCGAACACTCACGATTCTTCGTGAATCTTCGCTGGAACGCAGAGGAGCCCAAAAAGGCTTGCTGGATAAGGCACTGCTGACGCGGATTTAGCGGTGTCTGCATCAGCAGCAACTTTTCGCTAGAAGTGCAGCGACAGGCTGCAAGCCAGGAAGTGCAGCGACGGGCTTGTACACGCAACGGCGTTCGGTTAGAAGGCACGGTGGCATAAATCTTGTCCGGCGATCTTCGCTTAGTGTTACGAGTGCAATTGAGTGAACGAACGAGAATTGCACTATCTAAGCAAGAATACAATGAGCGAAGGCATGAGCGAAGAATATATAGCGAAACTACAGTGGTAACGGTAATGGTCTGTGGTAGTCGCGCGACGAGCCTGGGACTGAGGTTGGGAAAGTGTCGAAGCGTAGGCCCGGAGCGCGGGTTACCAGCTGAGCCGTGAGGTCGGGATGCGATGTGCGAAAATGGCGGGATGATTGTCGATGCGATGATCGCGAGTGGTAACGGTGCTGACTGAGGTGCTACAGTGATGTACGCGTTGAGCAGGGATGCGAAGTAAGGAAAAGGGATTTTCCTTACACTACCCCCCCCCCCTCCTAAGGAGGTCCTCCTTACGAAAGGGCGTGGACGTCCCTGAAGTTTCGGCTGCGCAGATATTCGGTAAGGACAGGGTGGTTTTCGATTCTATCCAGAGGAACCCAGTTGTCCTCGGTGGGTGTGGGGTCCTTCCAGCGGATCAGGAACTCGATTTTTCGGGCTCCTCGAGGGTCGCGAACTCTGTGGCTCATAATTTTGTCGTGGGTGATGATTGGCTCGGTTGGTGGTCGTGCCATGCTGGATGGTCGATGTCGTGGGAGTTGGCTGGTGGATGGTAAGGCGAAGCAGGCTCACATGGAACGAGGGGCTGACGTACCAGTCAGCAGGGAGGAGGAGGTGCGCAGTGACCGGTGTTATCATGTGGCTAATTCGAAATGGCCCACGGTATCAGGGGCGGAGTTTGGGAGTGATGGGCAGGCGGAGGTTTTGAGTGTCGAGTAAAACGAGGTCGTCGGGTTGGTAAGTGACAGGTCTGCGGTGGCGGTCGGCGTTGCGTTTAGCGATGATGTTTGATTTTTTTATGGCTTCTGCTGCCGTGGTCCGTGCTGCTTGCAAAATCTCGGCGAACTGTTGTGCGCGTGGGACGGGATTGTCGGGATTTGGGGTCATGGGTACTGTTGGGTCCTGTCTGTAATTCAGGTAAAACGGTGACTGTTGGGTCGTGGCGGATGGGGCGTTGTTGTATGCGAATTCGATGAGTGGCAGTTGCTGTTCCCATGTGTTTGGGTCGACGCACGTGGCCCTAATGAGCTGCTCCATGGTCTAGTTTGTCCGTTCTGTCTGTCCGTCGATTTCGGGGTGATACGAGGAACTGAACTGTAGTCGCGTGCCGAACTGCTGCCACAGATTCCGCCAGAAATTGCTGGTAAACTTTGTGTCCCTGTCGCTGATGATCGATGCTGGTATCCCGTGCAGTCGAACGATGGTGGTGATGAAGAGTCGGGCTGTTTCTTCGGCTGTGATTGATTTCTTGAAGGCTGCGAAGTGTGCCATTTTCGTCAGTCGATCGACGACGACCAGGATCGCGTCATTCCCACTCGCCCCGGCCGGTAACCCCGTGACGAAGTCCATCGTCACTTGCTGCCAAGCACGCTCTGGAGGTGGGATTGGTTGCAATTGTCCCGCCGGCCGCTTCCTGGTTGACTTCATGAGCTGGCAAGTGGGACACGATGCCACGTGTCGTTGCACGTCGGTCAACATTTCAAGCCAGTAATAGTACCGCTGCAGCTGCTGCCGTGTTTTTTCTACTCCGAAATGTCCCGAGGTAACCCCGTCGTGTGCCTCCTGTAATAGTAATTCCCGTAATAGTGTGTACCCTGGTACCCAGATGCGGTCAGTTCCAGCTTTTACGTAATAGACTCCCTTGGCTGCTGCGAACTGCTGCGAATTTCCTCCTGTGAAGAATGGGTCTATTTGATATCCGTGGGTAAATAGTCCTGTCAGTAGCGGGCTAGTCTGGGCGAGTAGTATCGCATGGATCTGGGCAGTGGGGCGGGTCAGTGCGTCGGCGATATTCGAGGCTCCTTTTTTATAGGTGACCGTATAATGGAAGTTCGACTCGAGAAAGTCGAGCCACCGAATCTGTCGTGGGTTGAGGTGGGGATGTGCACGGAGGTACTGTAGGGATCGATGGTCTGTCCGTACTGTCACGTCTGCGCCGGTTAAGTAGCAGCGCCACACCTTGAATGCATGCACGATCGCGAGCATTTCGCGGGCGTGTATCGGGTAATTTCGCTCAGGTGGATGCAGTTTGCGTGATTCGTAGGCGATGGGTTGGAGGCCGTTGCCGAAGTCCTGTAACAGTATGGCTCCGATGGCGATGTCGCTCGCGTCGGTAACAACCTCGAAGGGGCGACGTGGGTCAGCGATGCGTAGGACGGGTGGTGAACAGAGAACAATTTTCAGGGCAGAGAAGGCAGCATGCTCTTTCTCCCCCCACGTAAAAACGACCCCCTTACGCAGTAAATCAGTGAGCCGGGCTGTAAAGGGTGCCATGTCGGGGACGAACCGACGAACGTAATTAACGAAGCCTAAAAAGCTCTGCAGTTCCGTGATGTTCGTCGGTAGATGCCACGCTTTTACGGTATCGATCTCAACCCCAGCCTCCGAAATAACGTGTCCTAAAAATTATAGCCTGTCCCGGAAAAACTCGCACTTGGAGCCCTTGGTGAGTAACCGATGTTCCTCTAAAATTTTAAAAACTGCTTCGAGATCTACTAAGTAATGCTGCTGGTCCCGACTGTAAACGAGAATGTCGTCAAGGTAAACTATCACGCATTTATCTAAAAGTGGCCTAAACGCCTCGTTCATGGTCATCTGAAATGTGGCGGGCGCGTTGGTCAGCCCGAAAGGCATCACCGTGTACTCGAATGACCCGTACCTAGTCCTAAATGCTGTCTTGGCGCACTCCGAGGGCTCGACCCGAATCTGATGGTAACCTTCTCGTAAGTCGATTTTCGAAAATACCCGTGCGGTTCGCAGCTGGTCGATCAGTTCGTCAGCGCGGGGGATGGGGTACCGCGATTTGACTGTTACCCTGTTAAGCGCTTGGTAGTCGATGCACATGCGAAACCCTCTGTCTTTTTTCGGTGTGAACAGTATCGGTGCGGCGAATGGTGACGAGCTCGGTCGGATAAACTGCTTCTCTAACAGATAATCTAACTGCTTCCTTAGTTCGTCGAGCTCGGGCTGTGTAAGTCGGAACTGGCGTTGGACAGTTGGCTGTGCCCCCGGTTCTAACTCGATCCTATGGTCATTCGCCCGCTGAGGTGGCAGCCCTTGCAGTAAGTCATCCGGAAGATACCCGAGAACCGTTTCAGTAGTGCCTGAAGTTCAGGTGGTACAGCTGCCACCAGTTTCTGAAAATCGCTCGGCTGCTCCTCTTCTTCCACTAATGCTATATCCACTGCGTACACGTTAGCTCCAGCAGCGATAGCCCGTTTCATCGTGATGGCGTTGACCTGGACCGTCGAAGACTCGAGTGGCTGCCAGCGAGGTAGGACGACCCAGTTACCACTACTTCGCACTGTGCAGCTACCCGTCGTCCAGTCAATTCGTGGGTTATACCGTCGCAGCCAATCACGTCCCAATAAAATGTCGTGCCCATCCAGTGTCGTTGCGAGCATTTCTTGTGTAAACCCGAAGTTCCCTCCGCACCGGACTTTTACTCTCTCCACCTTTTCCCGTATAGCCAGTGGCGTGCCGTCGACTAAGCGTGCATCTATCTCAGGTAAGCATCGGTTAAGTGTTAATTGTAATTTCCGTGCAGTTGCGGTATTAACTAAGCTGTGACTTGCTCCTCCGTCAATAAAGATCTTCACTGCTGCTCCCTGTACTTTCCCGTGGATTAGTACCGGGCAATCCGTCGCTGTACCCTCCTTATTCATCCGAGCCCGATCGATGGCATGAATCGGTACTGTGACTCGGTGAGGGTCGGTGTAGTTGGGCGAGCAGGCAGTCTCATCAGTAGTTGGCCCAACTTCTACTGACTGCTGGCGTTTCTCTGCCTCTGAGACTCCCTCCCCTGCTCTGCTCCTCGGCGTCTCAGCTCCTCTGGGCATTCGCTCTTGCGATGGCCCGGCCTGTTGCAAGCAAAGCAGCGCCCCTTAAACGGTGCGCGAGCTGCATTCGTTGCGACGGGATGTACAGTGGCGTGCTTGGTCGGTCCCCGAGGATGATGTCCGTAATAGGACCCCGGTCTCGGTCGGCGTAAAATGTCGATCTTCTCGGCGAGCGCGAGAATCTCGTTGAAATTTGAGAGTCAGCGCAGCATTATCTCGTGCGAGATGTCCGACTTCAGCCC